AAAAGCAACAGCAGTTGGAACAAGAGAAGGAAAAGCAGCAATTGGAACAGCATAGACAGCTGCAGAAGGAAAAGGAACAGCAGTTACAGAGAGAAAGGGAACAGCAAATGGAGCAGCAAAGACAAAAGGAACAGGCAGAAAGAGAAAGAGGATAAACCTCATCAGGGGAAGTGGAGAGGTTATATTTAGAGCAAAAATGCACAACATAGAAGAGAGAAGACTTATCTAAAAGTATATTTTTGCAAGAGTAAAAAGAATTAGCTAGCTACAGTAGAAATGTCATATATAGCAAAATATCCTCATTGCATGTTTTTAACTTAACTTGATTTTGGTTTAAGTTGTGTGGCCTATTACTTAAATTTCTGTGCCTAAGGCAATCAAAAGATAGCTAGATAGTGACAAGTCAAAGACATAGCAAGGGATGTTCCAAAAAATAAAATTATTGTTGTCACAGATCGTTTAGACAGAATGGCTGGACAGTTGTTTTAGGTTGATGGAAACTGTCAAATTGAAAGTCTCTATTAAGTGTTCTCAGTCACTTTTTGTGTGGCAATTTTACCTTCTCAAACATATCTCGTTGTCAGCAGACATGGTTTTTGTCTTCCTTCATATCTTAAGAAAGTTTAGAACATGCTGCCAAGACTACTTAAAGTTAAAATTGAATTTGCCTTTCTTTTGAATGTTTTTTTACTAGTCTTGTACCTTAATATAATGTTATGCAATTTGGAAGTGACAATTAACTTTCAAAGGTATCAAACATATCAGACTTTTAGAAGACAGCAATATCAAACATACAGAATTGTTCTAGATAGAAACAAAAAAATTATGTAATGTAACAGAGTACTGTGTGTTTTTATGTTAAAAAGACTCGAATTTTGTGTTACAGAGAAAAAATAAGTCTTCCTTGTTCTGCTGTGAAGTTTTTTGACAATCAAAGGCAAGAGCCTTGTTGTAGTTAAATGTCTGTTGTAACTTATATAGGTTTGTTGTGTTGTGTGGAACGTATGTAACATATCATACATTGCATTATGTCCTTTTGACATACATGTACTTATTGGTGAGAACACATATCAGCTTTGTTTTAGTGTTAATCTTATAGCCTCTACCAGGCTTCGGGAGGCGGCTGGAAAGAGTAGAAATGGGCCAAATAGAGACAGAGATAGTATGCCAGGAAAGTTGGTCCACTAGAGAGTACATTTTGCCACAACTCCCCTGGCATACTATCTCTGTATTTGGCCGACTTCTGCTCTTTCCAGCCGCCTCCCCAAGCCTGGTAGAGGCTATTCATCTGATACCATGGGTGCAGATTTCTATTTCGTGTGTGTGTTTTTGTGTAAATAGACTTGTTTGTTTACAATGTAAGAAAGAGTGAATATTTAATATGCAATTTTTAAAAGCAATAATGATAATTTTAGTTATGAAAGACAATCTTTGCAGAAGAGCAATCAAATCGCAACTTGTGTGTGTGTTGAACCAGAACGTGTTATCTTTCACTGGGTCATCTTGTTGTCATTGGGATGTTTCAATAGCCTCCATAGCATGCCAAAAACTGAGGGTTTTGTGGGTCTTCAGGGTCTTTGGGAGCTTTTATGTGCTATTTTCTGATTGCATATAGACAACATAGCCGGCCTGGTTGATTAATTTTTTAGAACTGGGCTGATCAGAAAACAGCCAAAAAGACCACCAAACCCCCAGTTCTATAAGCCTGCTACGGAGGCTACGTTTTCAACAGGAATGGAAAAGTAACAATCAAATGTGTTTTGTGTGAACAGCTTTTGTACATGTGCAATTGTGCCAAAGAAGGCAATACAGACATCTGTGCCTTTGGTAGACATTTCTTATGTAAGAGTGGAGTTTTTTTTAGTATGTAATTCGAATAATTTTGTGTGACTAGAGGCCAACTCTATGTGTAGTTTTGTGGAAAATGATGAAATCAAAGAAAGTTGTCAAGAATACCATAGAAAACAATACATATACATGTATTAACAAATTGTTGTCACATTTCATATGTATCGATTGAACTTATCACTTGTAACAATTTCTGATTAAACTGAAGAAACAGATGAATAATGTAAAGGTTGTAGTCACTGACAGCTCTCCATACTCTCCAAGCAGATCCTAGGGTGGCAAAAGACAGTATCAAATTGGCCAGCCAGTATCCATTGACCAGAGAGGGTCCAATATGCCACCCAAGGCGTATTGGACCCTCTCTGGCCAATGGATACTGGCTGGCCATTTTGATACTGTCTTTTAATTGCCACCCTAGGATCTGCTTGGAGATTAGCTCTCCATCTATCGCCTGATCGAAATCGCATCCAATCCCAGAGCCCCACCCACGTCCATCAAAATGTAGAAATGCAAAACATAAACTTTAAAGCTCTCTCATTGGTCGAACCACTAATTGCCATGTTGTCATTGGTTGAACTGCTAATTTATTGTGATGGCCAAGTCAAAGGAAGAAAAGAAATAAGTAAAAAAAATGGTCTAAAAATTGGTTGCAGACATCAACATGTGAAAGCTGAAATCTTGGCAGTGTGTCAAAGGTGCACAGGTAACTACTTTACTCTAGCGGCAGAGTGCTTGACTCGGAACCAAGAGGTCCAGGGTTCGAGTCCTTACATGCCACCGATCTTTGTGCCCTTGGGAAAGGCACTTTACACGACTTTCCTCACTTCGCTCAAGTGAAAATGAGTATTGTATTGTCCCGTGTTGGTGGACACATTAATATAAGTTGACAAAACTTGAGTGTGCCGTCACCACGTCTTGTGATTACATGTTGGAATATAAAAAAAAAACTACTTTGGACAATCCTCCTTCACTGAGGTGTGCTTTGAACATATACAGCAAGTAACCTTTTGTTGAATTAGTGATTGCCTACATTTTCAATTCTTTTTTCAAATTCCAATTCTTAATTTCCATACAAGATTACAGATATACAATATAGAATTATAATGTTGCCTGAATGATATTGACATTTTACATTATAAACCTTGTTAAGCAAGAAATTATACCTGATATATTGTGGTAGCCTGGCCTGGCCGGTACCTGGTTTTCCGTAAACCCTGTTGTTCCTTTGTGTTAATCCTCAGATATTCCCACTGACGTCATATTAAAGTTGACCAATCGCGAAATCTCGCGAGAGGTCAACAACCTATGACGTCATCACTCTTCTATCCTTCACTTGTCGCGACCTCATCTGCGCAGCCGGACGTCAGTTTTTAGCTCCTCAGCAGTCGGTCCTCAGCACGCTATGGCGGCGTGCCAGCCGTCCCTCACCGAGCCGAGAAGTCTTCAGGAGTAGTCCGGAGAGAGGCAACGGAGAGAACGGCGATGTTTTAAGCTGTGTTAGAACGTCTAGGGGTTTGTTTCTTGTGTTTCGTTTGGTTTTGTGGTTCAGTGTTTGTTTTGTGGTAGCCATGTGCCATCCTTTTGTTCTGTGGATTTGCATTTCTGTACAGCGGGCGGCGCGGGTGCACATAGTTGTGGCTCGCCAGCACCTGGCACGTTTTTGTTACGGCGGTAGACTTGTTTTTTATCGTTTTGTGTCGTATTTGAGTTGTGTAACTCTGTGCTTTTTCGAGTTAGGCCTTTAGGCTTCTGCGTCCTCCTCTTCAAGCGGCACCAAGACGGCGAGGGGACCCGCCGGCCACGTACCAGGGGAAAACGGCCATTTCTCCTGGGTCAGACACCAGCTAGCTTTATCGGCGCCACCCGCAGCATCATCCTCGAGAAGTACTTAGAAGACGGCAATACTAGTCGCTTACGGTGAGTTCTACTGTACTTGCGCGTACTGGAGGGACCACCGGCTTCGACCACTTCTCCAACAACTTCGGACTACACCGGCCTGGGGCCGCATGTCAGCTAAACAACGGCCTGGGGCCGTAGCGTAGCTGGGCTACGGTGAGTTTGGGGAGAACCCCACGATCAGCACGCTAGCCTGAGGGACCATCGACATCGACTACCTCTCCAACAATGTAGCTGGGCTACACGCGGCCTGGGGCCGCACGTCCGAGCAAACAACGGCCTGGGGCCATAGCGTAGCTGGGCTACGCCGGTAAGTATGGCAGCCTGGTGGCTGCAGGTCCCCTCTAACTACGGCCTGGGGCCGTCACGTAGCTGGGCTACGCCGGTAAGTATGGTAGCCTGGTGGCTGCAGGTCCCCTCTAACTACGGCCTGGGGCCGTCACGTAGCTGGGCTACGCCGGTAAGTATGGCGGCCTGGGTCCGCATGTCCTTTCTGACTACGGCCTGGGGTCGTGGCGTAGCTGGGCTACGCTGGTAAGTATGGCGGCCTGGGGTCGCATGTCCCCTCTAACTTCGGCCTGGGGCCGTAACGTAGCTGGGCTACGCTGGTAAGTTTGACGGCCTGGGTCCGCGTGTCCCCTCTAACTTCGGCCGGGGGCCGGAATGTAACGTAGCAGGGCTACGCCGGTAGAAGGGTGCCCCGGGACCGAAAAGCCACTCTTAAAACGGCCGGGGAACTGGATCGTAGCTGGGCCATGCGGTTATGTTCGGCAGTTGGAAGCCGCCGATCCTCTATTCCTGCGGCTTGGCCGTAGCGAAAAAACGCAGCTGTGCTACATGGGTAAGTGTGGCGGTATGAGGTCGCATGTGCACGACGGTTAAGGGCCTATCCACGGGTTTGGTTTATTTTTATGGACATTTTTATCTACTGACATCAGTTGCCTTGGTACCAAGCGGAGCCTCGGAACGGTCGACGGAACGAACTGAATCATACGATTTGTGCTCATTACTTGTACTACTATTTTGGGGGCGAGTACAAATGTGTTTTTGCCCTTCTGCGATGGGTTGTGA